GAGCGAATGGCGAAAAGAAAACCCAGACGGCGACTGTAGGCAAACTTACCGCGCACACTGTTGCTGAATAAACAGGCAAACCCAGGCGCACAGTAGGTGGCAGCTGGAGAGGATTAAGGTGGGGCCGGGACTTGGATCGGGACCAGCATGAAAGTCACAACTTTCAGGTGATATTGCCTCTGGGCTGACTGCCAGCCGAAGGGAAATGAAAAATGCAGTTCCTGTCGGTGGCTGCTGACTTCTTGTCGACTAATGTCGAATTGCATCCGCTCCATAGTCAGAAACGAGCGTAAAAAAATAGCTCAGCCGCAGGAGTTTTCAATAAAAATGTTTGATAAAATACAGCAGCCTATGAAAATGTACCTTAACAATATTACAATTAGACAACTCCTCAAAAGCTTGGTTGAAGCTGAAAACAGAAAAATAGTTTTCAATGCAATTTCATGCGTTTAATAGAAACAAGTTCCTACCTCAACATGACTTCCTCCATATGGCAGCGAATCCTCGTTTGTTTATCCTTGCTGTTGATGCCAAAGGAAAATAAAAATCCACTAGCAGCAGGCGAAACAAACGGCAACCACAGTTGCAAGTTGCGAGTTGCGAGTTGCGAGCACACAACTGACACAAATTCAACTTTAATTAAAGTTTAGCAGGAGGATGCGCTCGCAGAAAGAGACAGAGCGACAGCGCAGAAAGAGACAGGCAGATGAAGGTGCTCTTTTCCCGCTAAGCTATGGCAGCCCACATGTTTACACATCGCTTTTAACCAACTTTGACAGGCTTTCCTTCTGCTTTCTACACCGGAAAAAACAATTAGTCGCTTAAACGGCTTCAGTTTGATAGAAACTTTGAAATCGTTTCGATCGCTTTATTTGAATATACCTTATCAGTCTTACACTTACTCTTTGGATACAATTCGTATTACCTCAAAGGCATTGAAATAATTTTATCTGTCTTACATTTTTTTTAATTTCCTACCACTATTATTCTGCAATTTTTTCCATATCTAGCTCAATCTATGTACTTCCACTTTTTCCCCTTTTCGTTCACCATCAGCTGTCATTTTTTGCTAATACTTCTCTGTTTTTGCTCTTAATTTGCCTTTGTTGTTTGTGATTTGTTAGTGCCACGCCCACATTGCCACCGCCTTGCTCCCCAACTCTCTATTTCTTGTGCTCTTGTAAACAAGACATTAAGTACAACAAAATAATTAAAGTCAATTAGTGGCTCTTGCCTGTGCAACTAGCTTTCGTATATACCCCTCCTCCCGCCCTCTGCTCCCTTCTGCCTCTAAGCCTTGGTGAGTTGGCTTTTGGCTCAGTTGCCGTTGATTTAGTTTTGGCCCTTAATGATATTGTAGAGCTCCTTCAGGGGCTGTCATTAGCTCCATTGATGCACTCACACTCCAGTTTGCACTTCAAGAAAGCCACACACACACACATGCAGGCAACCGCACATCATAAATTAGAAAATCAACTATAATTTTTCATGAACTTCGCCCTTTTAGCTACAGATAATGCTACTTTAATGCCAGCTAACCTTACTAATATAATATAGCTATTCAACGTATTTAACTATCATTATCATATCTGAAAGAACGCTAGGACTGTGTTACCTTAAACTTAAGATTTAAGATCCAATTTGATGCACACTTTAAAATTATGCAATTCTTAACTGAAAAATGAAATTGTCAGATTCTGCCGTATATTTTTTATCATAACGCATCAATTCAATTAACCGAACACAAATTAAGCCGAAAAGCATTACTTCTTTTAGAGGGTAAAAAAATGTCACTGAACGGTTTAAATTAATATTCCTGTGTCTCGCAATGAACAACAGTTAAGTGAAGCTTTTCAATTACGGATTAATATGTAAATGCACGCGAATCTATATGAATATCGATAATCTCTGATATTTATTTCGTTCTGATTCGATAATTGAATTTGCAGCAAAGACAAAAGGCAATATTTTTTTTTCAATTTATACAATAATAATTTGTTGTAATACAATTACAATGCCCGCATCGAGTTGCTCTTTTCCTTGTTTCGTTTTGTGAACAATGGCACAATAAGCCCTTGCTTGCAATCGAAAATTAAAAAATAAACAGAGTTGCAGAGTTTCAAGTTCCTTGGAATAAAGGGCCACTAGAAAGGAATTGGAGCCAGACAAGTGGCTTTTGTGGCGGGGAATAAAGTTTCTAGGGCTTATTGATTACAAAGTAATGAGGTAAAAGCAAAGCTCGCATTTTCCAACACATACTGGCAGTTGCACCCCGAGTTGATTGATTTTACTTGGGCATCGGAGGGAATTTACAATTCCATTCGAAGTAATTTAGAAATAAACATTACCGTCAGCAGCCAATGAAGCGCTCGTAATCGTTAAGCAATAAAGTGCCACGCCCTCCGGACAAATTGCCTCAGGACGACACTTCAAAGTGCTGGGAAAGTCGATAGGGAAAATTACATTTGTACGGAACCGAATTTGCATGCGAAATGTTTTCCTAATGATTTTCCGAAGCATTAAAACTGAAGCGAAGCTTCCATTTCTGATCGGGCTGAAAGCTTATTTCACTTCGTATTTAAATTACATTTCCCGTTTGGCCAAATCGTAAGTACTACCAACATTGATTTTAGTCGGTCGGCGCTTTAAAATTAATAATGATTTCAAGTCACTTCCCGGCTGCCTGCTAATGACTTCTTCTTCGTTGGGTCGCCGCTGCCCACAGGGCGTATGATTAATACTTTGTTTACACTCGAAGTAGCCGCCGCCGAGGAAAATTGAATTCTCGATTCATCACCTTCCCTTCAGCTGCGTACATTTTGCATAAATATTTCGGCAAAGTGCTGAGAGCCAGGCAGCAGCTCCATCATCAGTTTAACAAACTAATTTGCTTGCCAAAAAGTCCTTTTCGGGACCATTTTATAAGTCATATTTACGTTGGACGCCTGCCAAGTAGCCTTTGTGTCCGGCGTTCTGAAGGCAGGAGCTCAATTTAAGTGAGTGCCAGCAGCCTCCTTCCTTCCTCCTTCTGCGCTTAATGATGTTATTCAAGTTGGCCAAAGGTGTCTGCTGGGCATTCCCGCCGAGTGAGTGGCAGGACTTAAAGTAGCCGAGGTAGCCAATCATTAGATAAATCATATTGGCCAAAACACGCCTCCAGCAAGGAAGTATGTATTAGCTGACTTCTCAGCCGACCACTTTCGCTGAACTAGGCAGAAACCTATAACTAGGCGGTACAGTAAATATTATCATACAAATTTAAATAGGAATACGCAAGATTTAAGTGCCCAAATCAGTATTTGGTATGGATTAATGTAACTATCTAACTTTCACAGTTCCCGAGGTCACAGGTAGTGTATCGAAATTCATAGTAAGCGGAATATCACTCTTTAATATGCAGTGCCATAGAGAATTAGGTTCGTAGTGAGCTTATACAAATTTCACCCAAGTCAAGCCGCACTGTAGTTCAATGGCAGCCAGTTTATTGTTATTGCCCTGCGTAGTTGACATTTGTAGTTGTTAGTGCCTTTATCGCCGTTGGTGGTGGCAAGATGTTAAGATTTTCGACCACGTCCAGAAGACATTTTCTGTCGAGTTGACATAAAACTTGTCCTTATGGTCAACCATGTTTATGTTGTTGGCCAAGTTTGCCGCAAACGAGAGTTTTGTGGTCGCTTTTCTGGTTCGATAAGAACTAATTATGAAAGTTCCTCTTTGCGATGGCTTACGTAGTTTGTTGCCACCGAATCAATTTGCGGGGTCAATGCTGCTGGGGGAATTTATGCGTTTAATAGAAATGACCAACGGGAAGATAAGCGTAATGCGAGGAAGTACATTAAAATTTCAAATGAAATTGGCTAGAAAAAACATTGAATATAATGGCTGCTCTGGAATTCCGCTAAAAGCTGACTCACTACCAAGTGTATAACAATGGCAATCAGCACAAGCCACTTGACAAAATGCCCAGACATTCCATAAGTTTGCTTTTATGGAAAATGTCAAACTCTCACAGCATTAGCATGAATATGAAATCTTATTTCAAGAGAGCATTATACAAGAATTTCTAAAATGGACAAGTTCAACAATATAATTCGCAATTCCACGATTAAATATATTTTAAAATACTTATATATTCTTTGTTGTATTATCAGCTACCCAAACAATTTTTTCAAGCGCACCGGAAATAGATCAGGGGATTAAGTTTGCTCTTGACATAACATTGTTAAACTGGAACTAAAACTGGAAACGAGTTAGTAAGACAGCTCGAAAAATTCGATTTATAGGAAACGCTTTTGATGCTATTATCCTGCCTAAAATTTTAGGGAAAGTTTATCGAATTACATATAAAATAAAATATTTATTATGTTATATGTAACCCTCACAAAATTCAAATCGATTAAAGTGCGCAGCGGATTACTGGAGAAGTGGAAAAATGTAAATATTGTCTGTGTTTATCAGAACTGCGTGGTTTACTTTAAAAATTCCAATCGCCTAACCGTTCAGTTACTCCGATCGCTCCATCGGCCATCGGACACTCTTTCAGGCCACGACAATGGACTTGGCTCAAAGAGGCCACTTGGTTCTGATCGAATTAATTTAATATAATATCAATAACAAACGCGAGAGCGTATCGGAGCAGAGCGTTGAATAACCGCGAATTATGAGAGGTCGTCGAGTTGTAACCAACTAATTGCCATACCAGAAAGCCGGTTTGCCACTCCGGGCCAAGCCGAAACTGAAAAGCCACAGCATCGAAAAGCAAAATCAATATCAAAAGGTGAGCACAGGTGAGTGCGTTGAAAGTGAAATTGAACTGGAGAGGGGAAGTGCCATTTAAGAGATGTTTTCTGGGCCAAGTGCGCGGCGCCTTGTCTCCTCAGGCCGGCCCACCTGCACTTCAGGTCCATCAAACGTGCCGAACCCGAGGAGCAGTTGGCCACACACCTGGGCCGCCAGAAGAAGCGAAACCCAAGCCAAAAGCCCAGGCCGGGAACAGTTTTTCAAACGCCTTAAAAGGCCGAGCCGGAGCTGCAAACGGTTTAGTTCCTCGCCGCAAACAAAACTAGTCACAACAACGTGGAGCGGAAGCCAGCAGCCCCAAAGTGAACCAGTTAACAGCCAGAGATATAGTCTGAGGTAGAGACACTCAGCGAAAAACGATCACAAATCGTGAATAAATATAACATACTCGCATAGTGCATTTTCAAATGTAAAACAATAGTCAAAGTGAACAAACACATTTAGTGCATTTATTAAAGAATTTTAACGGAATGTAAAGAGTTGTGAAAAAGATAGACAATGGTTTAGAAAAATACATGATGTTCTTATAAGTAAAAGCTGAAGAGATGTTGTGGAGAATGACTTCACATTCCCACATTATACCATGGTTCAAAAACTTAAATAAACTGTGCATAATACGCAGCTCTAAGCAAGTTTAAAAGTATTCATTTATTCCCAAGATCCCATCCTCTCGCAATATCGTAAAGTTATACCACCTTTTTTCTCTGCAGAAAGAGAGAGCTTTTGGAATCAGGAGCAAGTTTGTCAGAGCCAAAGTGAACGTAGCTTTTGACGCGTTCGAACCACACTCGTTTGATTCATTGCCACCGAGCCACTGAACCGCCTCGCATTCCGCACATTCCGCACAATACCAAAAAAAAAATCCGCCGAAATGTTGCGGACCTTTGCCATTCTGCTGCTGATCGTAGTTGCTGTAAACGCGAGAGCTGCTCCTCAGAAAACCACAGTTTCGCCGGACTATGAAGCCACCGAGGAGGTGGAATCCTCCACCTACATGTCCGTGGAGGAGGGCACCATCACGGTGGACGTCGACTCAGATGTGATATTGACCACCAGTCCCGAGGGGGAGGCCTTCACCGAAGCCAGCCCGATAGTTACGACGGAGGAGCCACTTCCGGATTCCGTGGTGCAACAGCTGGAGATGGAGCGCGCTCGGGAGGCACAGCTCAAAAATCCCGAAGAGCCGGAAGCCGAACTCGATTCTGAGTCGGAGGAGGAGGATCAGACAACATCAACAAATACGGAACCACCAAAGTCTAATAATTCAGAGAGCACCACCAAGCGAAGCTTTAAGTTCGGAGCCACCACACTGCCACCGAGTTTCATCATAACCACGAGTGGCCTGGAGATCACCACTGTTCTGCCACAGGATCTAGCCACGACTCCTACTGCAGAGACCGAGGAAACCACCGTCAAGGAGGAGGTCAAAACCACCAGAAACTACTTCCAGCGGAAGCCCGCACATATGGAAGAAATTGAACTGGACATGGCGGAGAACCGCATGGAAACGACCACAAATGCACCACTCCATGAGAACGTGGAGCTTTCCATGAGTGTGACTACCGACGCCGCATTGGTGGAGGAGGATAACAAGCCCAGAATTGAGACTGATCAGGAGGAGTCGGTGGAAACCACGGTGGTGCCTGTTTACCAATACGTTAGCAATACAGCGCCCATTGTCACGGAGCCGCAGCCCGAATTTACTACGGTGGTGCCACAAGTAAAGGAAGAGGTGGCCACCACTGAGGTTGCGATTGAGGAAACTACAGGTGTGTCTTCAATCTAAAAATATCTATTTCTTTACGTAACCCATTTCCTTGCCCACGATGAGCTCACGAAATACATATTTCTTCCACAGAACTGCCACTAGTTTCGTCCACCACTGAGGAGGAAACCACTGCACCAGCTCCTAGCACCACCACTTCAACCACCGAGACTGTTCTGGTCAGCACCAAGGTGGAAACATTGCAGAATGTCCAGCCAGAAACCACCACGAGTGCTTCGGACACCACAACCACTGAAGCTCCAACTACGACGAGTATCACCACCACCACTGAAGCTCCAACTACGACGAGTATCACCAGTACCACAGAAGCTCCAGCTACGACGAGTAGCACCAGCACCACCAGTGATGAAACCACGACAAGTACCACCAGCACAACCAGTGCTCCAGCCACAACCACCAGCACCACCAGTGCTCCAAGCACAACCACCACCACAGAACGCCCCATTCAGACGCGAGCTCCGCGTGTGGAGCGAATCTTCAACTCGGACGGAGTGGAGGTGCTCTACGGATACTCGTCGGTGGTGCGGACCAACCGCTCGTGAGTGGTCGACACCACACGACCTTGTCAAGGTTGGACAACTTGCCATTATGTGAAGATTGATGCTCGGGTTATTTTAGGCAATTTTCAATTCTAAACGAGTTATAAACAGAAATATTTAAATTTTATGCGACGGGCCGCACAGTGTGATAAACCAAAAAAAAAAAGAAACAAATAACAATGCGTAAGAAGATATCGGTGGAAATACAAATCCGCACAGACATTAAACAAAACAAAAATAATATTGTGCAAAATTTGTGGATGTCAGCCAAATGACTAAAATAAGGAGAAATGCGTGAGATAAGCGATTTTATAAATTATAAATAAAACATGAACACCCATCATTCGTTTTGTGTTTGTTTTGGCGATTGCACAAAGCGTTAGTAGGTATTTTAAACATTGTTGATCCGAAAGTCGCTCTCCAAATGGGACATAATATTGCAGCAATGTGATTGGTTAAGGTAATCCATAGACACCCTTCAATAGTAGTAGAAGAAAAGTAGAAGTAGTGGAAGAAAATTCATTTAATTCATAAAGGCTTTTTACGTAGGGACTATACCTTATGTCGAGCATTCAATATAGAGTATTTCCCAGACCATTTTCTCAGCCAATTCACTGAATATGATTCATTTTGTATATTGTTAAGGCAGCGCACCCAAGAAATCAAGTCAAACACAAGCTCAGACATTCAGCAGCCCACAAGCTGATCGCTGCCCACCTGCAAAAAACAGAAAAGAAAAACCGGCAATCTCCTCAACAGTTGTCGTCATACATTTTTGGGCTTCATGTTCCGGCATGGACGCAGTTAGTCCGACAGACAGACACGTGGACCAGCCAGGCTGACTGGTTTGGTGTGGTCAGGTCTGAAGGCTTGGGTCGGCTGGCAGATTATTCATTCATCGATCCGATCGGCATGTGAAAATCCATGAAGGGGCACAGGGCTTTTTTGGGGTTTTGCAATGAGTATCACGTTTGCTATGCCTCACTCTCGGTGGAATTTGAAAGCAATCGGCTATAAAACAAACTCCAACCGCTAATTTCCATTTGAACTTGAGCGGCAGGCGCTAAACTGCATGTTGAATGTGATTCGAATGAATGCGGATCGAAGGTTTTGGCGATACGGGTTTTTTTGGCCACTTGACTTGCCTTTATTTACTAAGTCAACTGACTTACTGTGCTCTAGGTCGTGGGATGTACCGATTTTAGACAGTTAGTCATATCGGTATGAAAAAAGAAAAAAATATATATGTATATAATATATATTTGATGATGCCGATTATTACTGACATGTTCTCATGGAGATACCTTTCTGTTGTCCTTGTTTGTTAATAAATTTAACCTGGACTTTTAAGGACCCCACATGACTGCAGTAAATTGATTTAAAATCAAAAGGATTAATATTTTTTTTATAATGTTTCTCACAGTATTTTATGCTTTTATTTAATAGGTTTTGCTACAGTAAGCTCTAAAAGCTTAGCGAAAACAATGAAATCTGTTTCTGTTACAGCCAAAAACTATGCCACCTTTATATTTTTAACTCCGGTAAACCATTGCCAGCAATTTAAATAGACTTAATTTTGTTATCTTTGTTCAATTATGGAAATGAATGTGTCATAGTAAAAAAAACGCCAGGAATGGGGGACATCCCAAACCTGCCTCTGTCCAAAAAATAATAATTTAATTTGATTTTTACGAATTAACATAGAGAACAAAATTTTTTAAGCCGGGCGCTAGCGAACTTTTAAAACAAGTTTCGAATGTATTCAAAGGCACTACGTGCAAGTAAAGAATGTGGCAAATTTGCATTTAGCATTAAAGTGTCCATCTTCCCATAAATAAAGCATAAAACTGAACCCGACCCAGATGTGTATATAAAAGAGTCCCCCTATCGATCACATGGAACAATAAACACCCACGATGAAGTTCTTTGCACTCAGCGCTTTCCTGCTTCTTGTTACTGTGGCAGTCAAGGGAAATCCCGGAGGACACGGCGGGTTCGGAGGACTCGGTGGCTACGGAGGACCTGATGGATTGGGAGGACGCAGTGGCTTCGGAAGACTAGGTGGCTTAGGGGGACGCGGTAGCTTCGGAGGACCCGGTGGCTACGGAGGACCCGGTGGCTACGGCGGAGGCGCAGTAGCCAATGCCAATGCTAATGCAAAGGCAGTTGGATACGATCCCAGTAATTACTACGGATAAGGAAATATGATGAACGCAGTCCAGAAACTCAACAATTACTTATCAAAATAAAGAAATGCACTCTTACTGCATAAAGGCTTTAAGACTTATTTTTTTCCTGCTTAACAAAGTAAATTTGTCTTTGGCTTTAACAGCGTTCGTCATTATGAATATAGCAAAAAAGCTTTTTTTTTGCAGCCCGGGAATATGCTTTACGTACCAAAATTTGGCTAACCAGTTTTTAATTATTGATAACATTCGAGTTAAATAATATAAAACATTAATTAATGTGCTAATCGGAGTCCCCCATATATATGCAGGCACAATATCGATTTTGTGATTTTTTTCTTGCGAATAAACAAGTTGTCAACATGTCACACAACCTGGTATAAAAGGGGCTGGCACACGCTCACAAAGCATCACAATCTCTGACGATGAAGTTCCTGGCTATCTGCATTTTTCTAATCATCGCCCTGGTGGTCGTTCAGGCTCATCCTGGTGGATTTGGTAGAGGTGGAGGTGGTGGTGGTGGTGGTGGTTTTGGTGGTGGTGGTGGTGGTAACGCCGTTGCCACCGCGAATTCCGCTGCAACCGCCGACAGCAGAGGAGGCGGTCCAGCTTCCGCATCAGCCTCGGCCACTGCAAGCGCCACCTCACAAAGCGGAAGAGGAGGACCATCAGGCCGACGTGGATAAGCCTGAAATGGATTCGTAGCCCGACTCTCGAAAAGTGGGCACGTCCGCGGACAGACCTCCTCAAGTGAAACGATACCAATACCAATAAACGTTGAAATGCTAATTCTGTTTCTCGGAAATCGTAGAACTCGTTTTCTTACATTTGGTTATAACCAGTTTATGAGTCGGGCCTAATTTATAGATCTAATGACGTCAAGAAAGACCTCTGTGGCCGCCTAAAAACAGACTAAGTCTTACACAGTTAGCAGTCCTTCTAATATAACAAACTATGGTTTAAAATATATCTTACTATTTAAATTACAACTTAAAATTTTGCATTTTATATCATACAGAAAATAGGTGCCTTTTTATTCTTTTTTAATATAGTTTAATTTAAGTTAAAACATAATTCAGTTTTCTGTTTATCCGGAAATCCAAACAATTTGCGAATTATTGTAGTGTGACGTTATTAAATTCGTATCCCCCAAAAGTCTTGATTTTGACCACTTACGGACTGACACCCTCCATTTCAGCAGCTCTTAAATTTATGATGATAAGTGGAAGAAATCTTCCACTTCTTCACATCTTTTGGTTTATTGTCAAGCCCCTTAAAACACGGTTTTGACATATTTTAATTAACAGATTCACATCTGGATTCTACGTTTACGGTAGCCAAACCTTTCCGTAAAAACAAGTTTTTATACCCCGTATTCGTAGAGTAATAGGGTATTCTTGTCAGTCTGTCTGCCTGCTCCGGGACTGTCAAAGCTGGGAAATTAAGATTTAGCATTCAGATTCTAGACACGCTGCAGTTTTAAAAAATGTTGTTTATTTTTCGTTCGTTTTACCTTTCTTTCCAAATTGAATTAATATGCGAAAGAAACTAGGTGAGTTATGGGTATCAGATAGTCGAGGAACTCTACTATACCGTTCTCTCTTGTTTTTAATTCTTGCTTTGATTTGCCTAATTAATCTACATATTATTATCATAATTAATTTTTGCACTAATCAACGCGAAAAATCTGCTTTAGCATAACAATGATGTTTTTGAAATGTCTGATCTTTTCCGTTGCTCTAGAAAGTGGAACAAACATAACCGCTTAAAATCAAAATTGGTAAATCTATATCTATAGATTTTAATATTTTTCGCTGTATATATTTTCAAAAAACTACAAAAATGTTCCTAAAATACGTTTTCAATGTATGACTTCCAAAACATTATTTAATGCATTTATTTGTCATTTTGTCAGCGTAGAAATAATCAGATTTATGACAAAATCAATCAGGTTCTTTCTTATAGGCTTACAATAAATAAAAGGAACATTTTCAATTACATTTTCTATTTGTACCCGTTTTTCGTACGGTAAAAGGGTTTACTAAATTCGTTGAAAAGTATGTAACAGATTATTTAGAAATCTATTTTTTGTAATTTTTTTGATGTTCAAAAAAATTAAAAAATGTCCCAAGGCTGAAGTTTTATACTCCATAGCTCAACTTATCTTAATCGGATCTTGAACTGGAATACCTCTAATTCTCAATTCTCTAAAAATCTGCATTCAAATTTAGAAAATTTTTGTAATTTAATTTTTTTTAAATTTTTTTGATGTATGATGTTGTAAAAATTCTAAAAAAAATATAAAAAATGTTGCCACGCCCACTCCTACGCCGACAAACCGGACAAAACTGTCACGACCACACTTTTGAAAAATGTTGTGGTCTTTTTTCACTTTTTTATATATCTTGTAAATTTCTTTAGATTTATTCTAGTGTAGAATTCCAGCTTAGAATTATTCTAGTGTCTTTGATTCTATCTTGTTTTTTTTCGGAACAATGTTTTTCGTACTATTACAATATGACTTACAAATCACATAAATATAATTGGATTTGTCAAAATGTCTTTACTTGAGTGAGTTACTCCTACTTTTGTTCATGTACCTTCCTTCTGTGATCACAAGTCTTCCAAGAATAAGAATTGTTCGTAGTTTTGTGTTTTTTTTTATTTATATAAATATTAAAAAACTAATCAGTGAAGAAATTCGGATCCAGTTGCTTATTTGCCGGCGTTGGAGACGGCGCTAGCACTAGCAATGCCACCTCGGGTGTTGGCGTTGGCATTAGCGTTGGCATTGGCATTACCACCAAATCCTCCTTGAGAGTTGGCGACAGCATTGGCAATGGCTTCGGAGTTGCCACCGAATCCTCCACCTGGTCTTCCACCTGGTCCTCCGAATCCACCTTGTCCCCCAAATCCTCCTTCGGAGTTGGCGACAGCATTGGCAGTGGCTTCGGAGTTGCCACCGAATCCTCCACCTGGTCTTCCACCTGGTCCTCCGAATCCACCTTGTCCCCCAAATCCTCCTTCAGAGTTGGCGACAGCATTGGCATTGGCTTCGGAGTTGCCACCGAATCCTCCACCTGGTCTTCCACCTGGTCCACCTGGCCCACCTGGTCCTCCGAATCCACCTTGTCCCCCAAATCCTCCTTCAGAGTTGGCGACAGCATTGGCAGTGGCTTCGGAGTTGCCACCGAATCCTCCACCTGGTCTTCCACCTGGTCCTCCGAATCCACCTTGTCCCCCAAATCCTCCTTCAGAGTTGGCGACAGCATTGGCAGTGGCTTCGGAGTTGCCACCGAATCCTCCACCTGGTCTTCCACCTGGTCTTCCACCTTCTCCTCCGAATCCACCATGTCCCCCAAATCCGCCTGGTCTTCCACCTTCGAATTCACCATGTGGAACTGGTTCTCTGAATTCTCCTTCTTTCTGGAAACCAAGTCCGCCGAATCCTGGTCTTCTACCACTGAATTCTCCCGCACTCTCGGCATTTGCGTTGGCATTTGCGTTGACATTGCCACCAAACTGCGGGGCGGCACTGGACACGGCCAGGATTACGGCGAGAACGACAAAGACCTTCATGGTGATCTGCTTGATCGGAGTGACTGAACAAACTTAATGGCCAATGCCCCAGGGCTCGGTTTTTATAGTGGCCAGACGGCAGTCAGACGCAACAAAAAATAAAATAAAAATCTAAGCTAGCCTCGGCTTTTCGGTAAAAATTAGCATGCAAACAACAGTCACTGCCGAAAAAATAATTTCAATATTATTGGAGATCAGAGATAGATTCCCGATCTGGGCAGGGCTTTAGAGCGGGACGCATAGCGAGTGAAAGAGTTAGATAGTGCTCTGATGAAATGCAATGTTTAAGGAAAGTTTGCAAATGTCTTTAGACCAACACGAGCCGTGTTCGTGGTGGTTTACTTCGAACCGGTTTGATGCTATCAATATTTAAACGTTTATTGATATTTGTGTTTATATTTCATTAAGCACCGTCATCGCGTCGCTTTCAGACGGAATCAACATAGAGGCAGTTAATTATCACGGAATTCTCTTAGGTACTTCACTATTTGCTATTAACACTAGAATCTATTATATGTTTTATTTTCATCATAATAAAGATGCCCATGTTAGAGTCATTACAGAAGAAACGCTGTTCCGGGAATAAGAATATACTAAAATTTAAAAGCGTCAAAAGAGTCCATTGGTTATCACGAAAACACCGTAAAGAATCAGTTCAGAATCCTGAAGGGTCATAAACCGATTTCTTAAACCAATTGTAACAAAATAAGAATTGAATTTAGTCAATTAAAAAGAAATAAACCTACTATATTTAAATATTTTCGTTCGAGATCTTCCAATATGTCCTTACAAATTAACTCTTTGCTATGCGCTTCCTTGTTCGACTATAAAGCCAAAATTATTTCATTTTTGAAGCAAGCCCACATCTGTTTCATATCAATATTTCTGTAATTTACCGGCAGCCGTACAAGCCCCATAAAATTTACATATATTTTTAGCGGTAAATATATGTGAATACAAACATGTATTTATCGCTAATCTTCATTTACATTTCATATACAAATGAATTGGGCGCCGGATTAGCGAAATAAAAATGAATATTTAAACTGCGGACGTGCGGATAGTCAAGTCAAATCTAACATGAAAGGAACCTTAGCAAAAGGTTCTATACCCTTGCAGTACATCTGTTTATTTATTTATAAATATTTAACAAAAATACAGATGCTTACCGAATAAGAGCACATTACAATCAAAAACTATAAAACTATGATTTCTTTTTTATTATTACACTCGTTACTCGTAGTGAAAGAGGGTATACTATATTCGCTGACAAATAAGTAACAGGCAGAAGAAAGCGTTTCCGACCATACAAAGTCGATCTGGCCAAATTCATCTGTTCGTTCGTTCGTCTGTCCGTATGAACAGGAGTTCACTCCTCGATCTCAGGAACTATTAAGAAAACTTCAGAGACACACACGCATGCCACTCCCACTCTGCCACGCCCACTAAGGGACTCGTTTGCATAAAAAGGACCGAACGGACAGGATTTATAGACTCGGCGGCTAATACTGATCAAGAATATATATACTTTATCTGGTAGCAAATGTCTCATTCATTACGTTAGAAAGTTCTGACCGAAATCAATATGCCCTCTTCAAGGGTATAAAAAGACAACCAGATTTTTTGTCAAGTCCCGAGTGCTGACAGAAGCTTCTTGCTATATATTTTAGGCGAATGTATTATACATATCAACTATTAAACCTGATTTGTATAGAAATCTTACATTTATAAAAGCTGATATAATAAACGGGGTAAATGTTTAATTAGATTTTTAGTACTTGTCTCTTAAAACTATTTGTTTTACCCAAATTGGCAAATACTCAAATGAAATACCTCATGATACAGACAGAACTTGGAAGACACAGATCTAAGTGTTGATCTCATGATGCCAACTAACCGCCAAAAGGCGTTGAAAATATAACCTTCTCATTTCATCGCATTAAAATTGAACTCTAGACCGCAATTTTAGGCGTTTGCCACTATTAAAGTGTAAGTCTATTTGTAAAAATATAATTTCATTCTTAAAAGGATGAACAAATTACGTACCTAAATATTTGAGCATGTTTACCTATTAATATCTTTACAGATACTTCCTTGCTGCAAAGCAAATATTAGAAAACAAATACTTGTATAATTTTAATATATTTATGTTTTATTCACAGTCATTTCTTATCGCTTAATTGGCACTATAGTTTGGCTCGCTCTAACCGAATTTGCCACCTGAAGCAGAGGCGGATGACGATGCAGTAGCGGATCCACCGCCACCACGTCCGCCACCACCTGCCGCTGCCGAGGAAGAGGCAGACGCTGAAGATGAGCCGCCACCGCGGATTCCTGGGCCACCTCCGAATCCTGGGCCACCTCCGAATCCTGGGCCACCTCCGAATCCTGGGCCACCTCCGAATCCTGGGCGACCTCCGAATCCTGGGCCTCCGAACCCTGGGCCACCTCCAAATCCAGGACGTCCACCGAATCCTGGGCCTCCGAATCCTGGGCCTCCGAATCCTGGGCCCCCGAATCCTGGGCGTCCGAATCCAGGACCACCTCCAAAGCCGCCCCGGCCATTGGAATTCGCGTTGGCGTTGGCATTGGCGTTGGCGCTTCCACCAAATTGGGGCAGGGCCGATGCCACAGCCACCAGAACAGAGAGCGCGATGAATAGTTTCATGTTGAGTTGTTGCCTCCTCGAGGGTGATCCAAACACTTGGCCAATGCACCGCCGGACCCGGCTTTTATTCCGTTGCTCGCCGGCGAAGAGATTCGTTGATTGCTCGGTGATCCACCCTGAAGCGTACTCCCTCAGCGGCAAAAGTTGATAAAAATGAGAAAGAAGAGAAAAAACAGAACGAATTATTAATATTTATAGCTCAACTCATTAGCAGGTTCGGGGCGTACGACCGTCGGACCCTACGCTCAACAGACCCGGGCTGCTCGATCCCCCACTGCAACCGGTTAATCCCAATCTCGGGAGCACATAAGACGCGCCCCTTCTCCATCCGTCCGTCGGAGAGGCACCATAACGATGGGCTTGGGACCAGTGATGTCGTGGACCGAGTAGTTAGCTGGATCTATGGGGGTGAGGAAAGATACATGTTATAAAATAGGTGCAGGTAGATTTCCAGAGGAATTCTATTCAGATGATCCCAACTGGAAATCGCAGTGATCAGTTTATGATTAATATAAAAATATAATAAAAATTAAATAAAAAAAAGATCAAATATTAAAGTAATCACATAATAATTATATTAAAACATGCACTTACTTAATGCTGAAGAGTTTACTATTAAGTTTGATATTAGTACAAGCTTTTTAAACAATTGGGAACTAGTTCTGTTTGAGCATCTCTGGGGCGTTATTATTTAAGTTTCACAAACTTATCAAAAGCAGTTGACTGATTTTACTGTCCGCCATAATTTATGCAAATTTTTTGTTGCCTTTCTGCCAGCTGTTTAGCTTTAAACTCTTTCGCCTCGCGCAGCTTTTTAATTGTTTGTTTATATAAAAGATATAACTGAAATGTTAAAAAACGTGTATTTGTCTAAATTCAGAACCTTAATTATTCTAATTAATACGAGAGGCATCATCATGGCAGGAGAAAAACAACATCCCAAAAGCATTATAAATTCAAATGAATCGGCTTGATTAATTTAGTTTGATCGGCATGGGGGCTATGAAAGAGCTATCATCGAAAGAGTGGCTCAACAGACGGGGACTCCCAATTGAAAGTGTGCCAAGTAATGTTATGTGATTTACTCGGCCACATTTGTAAATATGCAAAAGGGAGCTCAAAAGTCTCCTATACTCGAAGCCCGCATCTTTAGCCACATATCTCAGAGCTTTGACAACTGAATGTGCAACTATTTTTATTATTTCTTCCGACTTATTTGGATGAGCCGACGGCAATTTTATGCAGATTAGTCCTCATCGGATGAGAAAACTAACAATATTACTCACCTACACTGTTAATTACAGTTGCATCAGCTTGAGGTAGGTAACAGTCATAACTTAAACAAAATCAGGATTAGCTGTCTTCTGTAAATTATTTACTAAGAAACTGAGAGTTGAAGTACAACTTTGGGTTTGCTTAAACAAATAATTGTTCAAAAATGTATTGCTCTCAGATAATATATCAGTAACTATTTTACTAATCATTCGCTTAGTTAATTAGCTAATTCACTTGGCTAATTAAATTTCAAAAAGGATATGTCGATTTTACCGAAGTATGAATTGTTTTTAAATAAATAATCGCACAAAAATCAGTTTATTACACCTCAGATTGAAGCGATGAAATATTACTAATAATGCTTCTTATTGCATATGTGCTCTTTGTGTGTTTTAAATTTTTTTTTATTTCAGACTTTTTCAGCATTAAGAGTAACTTAACCTCTAAATAATCGACTTTCTTGCAGCTTATCCGTAGAAACCACCGCCGCCAGCGGAGGCGGATGAAGAGGCGGACGAGGAGGCGGCTCCACCACCAGCTGCAGAGGCTGACGAAGAGGCGGAGGCAGAGGCTGCACCACCGCCCCCACCGTGTCCATGGCGTCTTCCTCCGCCAAATCCACCAAAACCGCCATAGGGACCGCCACCGAATCCGCCGCCGTATGGGCCACCTCCGAAACCGCCGCCATAAGGACCACCGCCAAAGCCGCCGCCGCCATATGGACCACCGCCAAAGCCGCCGCCATAGGGTCCTCCGCCGAATCCGCCACCAAATCCTGGACGTCCAAATCCGAATTGCGGTAGGGCCGAAACGGCAGCCACCAGTAGAGCGAGAACAATCAGAGTCTTCATTTCGAGAATTCTTCTTTGAGTTTGATGGATTTTATTTGTTGCGATCGCTGGGTTGTCTGGGCTGGAACTGACGGACTCTCAGGTGAGTCGCTAAAGTATTTATACCCGCTGCATTTTTTCGAAAAGTCGTCACATACCGGCGATCAAATGTTTATAATTTCGGCGGTTGGGCCGATCGTCTACCGGTTTTTTTTTTATTGTGTTCCACCTCAGATCTAATTACACTAAGCAACATACATATTGCTTTTGGGTAAATCGATGACGCATGATATATTGGGAATACATTTACCATTAAGAAATAGTACTGAAAATAAAAATATTGATTTTAATATTGACATCAAACAGGTAGCATTTAATAAAAACATCGCGTAATAAGAGCTCGGATTTTTTACAACTCACAATCAAAACGGTAGCATAAGAGAGGTACTATAATGTACATACTAAACCGATTGGTGCTAAATCTATCCATTTTTTATTATTTTATAAAATAATTTTGTTTTAATTTTGTACTTGCCTTGTGCGTAGTGCCGCCGCGCTAAGCGATGACGTTGTTTACCGGGGGATTCCCATACACACTTCCAAGAAGGCGCACAAACATCGACCCCCACTCAAAAGGTGACCCAGGTGGTAGTGTTTGAAAAATGACAGCCAGCATGTTTACAAGCTGTAGCGATATATATGGATAGCGATTCTTCCTGATCTGCGTAGTTCCCCACCGAGATCAATAGTACTCGTCGCCGGTCGATTTCGATCGTCTAATGCCGATCATCTGACAAGTTCATCTTGAAGACTTGAAGTTTATTCCCCCTATCTTGTTTTGTTCGTCGGAAAGCGGTTTCGATGGCGATGTTTCCAAACAAAACACCGGTCGATTGGAGTGGGCCAGTTGGAGGTGGTGAGATCACTGACTGATCGCCGGTGGCTATTGGGCATTTCTCCAGGTCTCGCGGCCATTCTGCTCAAGAGAAGGTTCAGTCTGCCTCAGAAAGTCTTCAGTTCCGATCGTGCATCAATTATTAAAGTAAAACCGACTAGTCCAAAAAATCTTAACTGAATACAACTTTACTGTACAGCCACTATTTATTGTTAGTTGTGTGTTAAAACGAAATGATCAAGAAATCTACGGCCAGCACATTTCAATTGCTGTATTGATAATTGATTGTATTGATTGATATATGAATCATTAATAATATCAATATCGGTCAGCACTTGTGATCGGTTTCACTAAATGTAAAAAAAAAATATATATTACCGCAGTGAAATCTCTCATTCATGACTAAGTTCAGGTTTACAATCTCTCAGCAATAAGATATGTTGACACTGATCGTTAGTGGGAAAAAATCACACATTTTAATGAGACTAAGCACGATAGCAAACGCAAAATCCCCATAATTCGCGCTCTTAGAGATCTGAGTCTTAACAGTCCATAACAATAAAGTCTCCCATGCGCGTCGAACAAGATTGCAGGGGCTGTTAATTAGTAAAAAAATCATTTATTTTAGAATATGAATACGAAACCCGTTTGGGTGTCGTTACAGCCAACTCTGAGATACAGCTGCGATCGAAAATATGTGTGACGATTAGCGACTCACATCCAAAGGGGTTTTCCTGGCCAGCGTTTGTGAACATCAAATTAGCACCGTCGTTAGAACTCGGTGATTTTGGGCTTCGATTTAGCCAAAGGTGAATATTAGAAATCAAATTTTACTTGTACTTTGAATTCCCAATAAAAAAGGCATTAATTCCCCGCCCATTTGAATATTGTTTTCGTGTTTGGCTTATGCAAAAAGTCCGTAACATAATCCCCTAATGGAACCGGTCGGGCTCGGGATCGTTTATTTATTTATATTTTCTATTTTTTTGCCACATTTGCTATGAGGCTTTTTTCAGTAATTATATAAGTCTGAGCTCCGGGCATTATGTGATTTTTCCCGGACCGACTTCTTCGTGCTCCGTGATTAATGGCAGTGAAATGGCGCAGTATCGCCGCAATTGCCAAAACAATTGATTCGGACTCTTTACATAATTAGCTGTCTAAGCTGGCAATGCAAACGCATAACTTCCGGATAGGAATGCATTTGCGTTGAATAAATAACGAGAGCACTTAAATAATGAACTGCTAGTGCAAATATTTGTATATTAAAATCAATCAAATTCAAATAATCCGAGCCTGGTCAAAATAGAATATTATCGCATTAGCCGGCGGGCAGCATCATTTTCCATGGCGACATGAAATATTATTAAAATGCCAACTAATGAACGTCATGTTAATTATGTAAACACACAAGCGCACACAATCAGTGCCCTGTAATATTTTCGCATTTTAAACGCCGCGGCGTTTATTACTATTGGCATTTCCCATAGTTTTTCCTCGCCACTCCACTCAGCAAATTGAATTTTACCCGCCCGGCAGAGCAAACTTTTCAATTATGCGGCCAAAGGGCTAATGAACAAAGCGATCTGACCAGAAAACCATTTGGCCACCATGTCGATATGGATACGAGCCAGTCCACCACACATCTAGCTCGATTGTGCAGACTGAATTATTTAATTTTAATTAAATGCCGGCCGCCACGTAGTTCCAAAATGTATAGCCTATTTTGAGGCCAGTAGATCGCTTTTGAAATCGAAACCCATTGTCGCATACTTTGAGGCACCACCTGAGATGAGCCGGAGCTCGGAATAAAATCGGCATTGGGGCACTTTGATAAACATTTCACATTTATTTTATGGCCCAACATAAATTGCAGCAAACAAAGGGCCCGGCCATATTGTCAGTTCTACAAAGGCCAACAACTGTTGCAGCAGCAGAAGCAGCAGCAGAAGCAGCAGCAGCAGCAGTGACTGTGGCAAACCGCCAACAGTCTGTTGGCCCAAACTTCCGGTTTTCCCGCTCTTCCGATTTGCCGACTCCATGTTGCAAAACTGCACCGCAGGGGTTCATCGTCCTTGTGCAAATTGGTCTCGCAGTTTATTGCCGACTGCGGACTTCGGACTTGGGACTCCAGACTACAGACTGCAGACTTCAGACCTCGGAGCCCAGGAGCAGATGCTGCTCCTCCGGCAATATACGTGCATTTTCAGCCTGCGAGTGAAGCCAAAGCTGAGGCGAAGGCAAAGGAGCTTGCTTAAGATTTCAATTTGTTGCCATTGTGTGCAACAATTTGCAATAGTAAAACTTAGCTTAATGATAAATGTTTGTGGGGGACACATAAAACTCAAGAGCAGCGCAGTCTGTCCTGGCCATTTAAGAGATTTATGTGGCCATGAGTGGCATCAATGTCTTCGGCCGGCGCAAATACAACTCCAAGCCACACCGCCATTCCCTCTAATAGGCCATTCATTTTGGCGGAACTTTGCATGCCAGATTTTCCGACCGCCAAAAAGGGGGAAACTGCTAAAAGTATGAATTGGTTACCACCAAGGACATCACGTGCCTTTCATACATTTAGTCCGTACTCCTTATCTTAACTTTTAAGGTTTCAAAAAGAAATCAACGAATCCAATAATATCTAAAAATATGCTAAAAAATGATTTCACACCATAATTGTTGAGTACAAAAACTATATTTGATTGGGATTGATGTAATACTTTAAGCCACTGGGAGAATTACAGGTATATTGGGCATTTGGTTCACCAGACTAGCCATGATAGCCGCCGCCTGCTCCTGCTGAAGCACTGGCACTGGCTGAGGCAGAGGCTCCGGAGCCACCTCCGTAGCCACCACCACCTCCTGGTCCGCCTCCGAAGCCGCCTCCAGGTCCGTAGCCGCCACCGCCGCCACCGTATCCACCTTTGAATCCTCCACCGCCTCCGTGGCCTTTGTTCTTGTGGCTTAGACCACCTCCAAAGTGTCCACCACCGGATCCGCCTCCAATGCCGGGGCCAAAGCCTCCAATACCGCCTCCAATGCCAGGGCCAAAGCCTCCTCCTCCGATTCCTCCACCTGGTCCGCCGCCGTGACCTCCGCCAATCACTCCAGCTGAAGATGATGCAGAGCTTCCGGCGTCGCCAATTCCTCCACCGTGTCCAGGACCACCGCCGATTCCACCGCCTCCACCAGAATGGCCACCTCCTCCAGAATAGCCACCGGATCCGAATCCAGGGCCGCCACCTATTCCGCCACCTCCACCAGAATGGCCACCTCCTCCAGAATAGCCACCTGATCCGAATCCAGGACCGCCTCCGATTCCTCCTCCGGAATGGCCACCTGATCCGATTGGACCGCCAACGATTGAGCCTCCGCCTCCAGAATGGCCGACGTAAATAGGTTCTCCGCCCAAATGGCCACCTGTGAAGGGTCCTCCTCCACCAGCGCCACCTCCAAATCCTAAATCACCTCCAGGGCCGAAGCCGCCAGATCCGTGTCCTCCACCACCGTGTCCTCCACCACCATAACCTCCGCCGAGCTTGCCGCCTCCATCGCCGCCGCCAATCGCACCGGCAGAAGCGGACGAGGAAGCGGATGCCCCGGCGTGTCCACCGCCACCACCTCCGCCTCCACCGCCGTAACCTCCGGCGGAAGCCAACGCCACACAAACACTCAGCACTACAAACAGACGCATCGGAACCTTTGCCTGCAGCTTACTAACTCGGCTCCCTGGAAAGATGCCGGCTTTTATAAGAGACTCTCCGATGTGCAAAAAGTACAAATAATTGCAAAATACTTGCAAAAATTTCGTAGAGCGCGAAAAAAGAACAGAACCCAGTCACGTTCCGAATGCTGAGATCCTAGGGTCAAGCCAGGCAAAAACTCAAACTGCACTGGACAACAAAGAATATTAAAATTTATTAATTTGATTAATTAATCATTTCGGTACAATATTGTTTATCATTACTCGTTTGATTTCATATTCATTGTACAACACCTCAAAATATTTACCCATAAGCAGAGAGTTACTAATTTACTATTCTATAGTAGTGAGAATCTTAAAACACTTCTTTAAAACAGTTATTATAGGCATTATAATTATAAATGAGAGCGCACACCTGTTGCACAGTGTAATTTGTACCCGTGGAGAACACAAACGAGTTCCATTTTAATATTCTCGATTGTCTAGAGTCGGAAATTACATTATACCCTAGGGAGAACCGAATATTTGGAAGGCGTGTGCAACCCGCGGGAGATTCATGATAGCCATCAGCAATGATGAATTAACTTAATGATGCCCAGCCCGATTTCCATTGTTTATTAACCAAAATAAACAGATAAGCTAACAGGTATTCCAAATGGAAGATACAATGTGGCTTGAACCTGGATTAGCGCGAAAGAGGGTATTTCGACCTCGTCATAACCCAGTAATCAGACGCTCAGCGTTATGTAAACCATTTTAATCATCGATTGCCTCGGCATCAGTTGCATTGATTCTCGACTCGCCCAAGATTAGATTTATTTTCAATTAGATGATATTCGGAGGCGGTTGATGGTTACGACAATGACCCTTAGGGTCTACGTCACTCTGGTTTGATGGGGTGGCAATATAGACGCAACACAGAGTGATGAATTATATAAAATTATTAAACATTTCCAGGGACCATCGCAATGTTTATTTTGCGAACATTTTAATTAATTAATTAGTACACGATCGTAAAGCACACACTGTCGTAATTTATTGCAGTAGTACTTAATGGTGTTATTATATTCCAAAGTGGCCAAATAAATTTTCTTTTCAACTTGGACTTTGCATTTGCAAAAGGTTTGAGAGTAAAGATAAATAATTATTGGTTAGCGTCACTTTTTTATAAGCTTTAGATAAAATCTACTATGCCAGCTTAATGTTTAGTATAATGTGAACTTTGCCTTTAAAGCTCGAGTTGAAATTTTACATATGCGTTTTAGAAAATCGGCCATTTTCGAATGGCCATGTATTTGAGCCTACTACTTTTCTAAGTCGACTGGTAATTTGCCTTCAAGCTAAGGACATTCGGACATAAACAAGAAAAGAACAATAAATTAAAGAGAGAGAGAAGATTCTCTTGCTTCGTGCTTCACTTTATTCTCAAAAACAGGAAGAGCACATAGAGATAGCAATGGATATGTACTCCTTTTTCGCCGAACTTTCGGGAATTTTCGGCATTTTTATGAGTGTGCAATTTAAGAATAGAATACTTCAAAATATTAAAGCTAACTTAAAATTAGCCAAGGAAAAGACCGCCGCCACGGTTAATGGATCCTCCTAGGTGAGCGCCACCCAATCCAATTCCGGCACTTCCTGTATTTCCACCGAGATTGCCTCCAAGGCTTAGTCCGTTTCCGCCCAAACTGATACTTCCCTGGCGATATCCTCCTTGGCTGGAAGATCCGCTCGATCCCAAAGATGCAGTGCTGCCACCGAGAGAGAGGCTTCCCGAACCCGTAGCAGGTGCCAGTATACCGCTGGCGACTCCATGGGCCAGAGACGCAGCCTCATGGGCACCGGCTAGTCCGATCGATCCAGCTGTGTTAGATTTGTGTCCGTTTGCTCCAACTGACAGGCCATTCGATCCGATTGAAGCTGATCCGGCATTGCCAGAGGATCCGATACTCAAATGTCCGGCATTGATCTTGGATGATCCAGCTCCAGAAGCAGAAGATCCAGAGATTCCGGCTGATCCGATGCTCAAGTGACCAGATGAACCAGTGGCAGAGGATCCCTTAGAGGTGGAATCAGTTGCTCCAATGCTAAGATGTCCAACACCAATAGATGCGCTGTTTGAAGCACCTTGGGATGATCCTGTAGTGCCAGCAGATTGGATATTCAGATGACCAGCACCGATGGAAGCAGAGCCTGATCCGGAGTGCAAGGAGCTCGATCCCGACGATTCAACTTTCTTGTGCTCTGTCTTGATGTGGGCAGATCCCGCGTGTGTTCCAGAGGCTTCAATAGTTGTGGATCCAGAACTAGTGTGGGTATGACCAGCACTAAACTGGGATGATTCGGTTTTTGAGGAATAAGTGGTTTCAGACGATTTAATGTTCAAATTTCCTGCTCCGTGGGAGCCAGCAGAACCAGCAGAACCAGAACCTGTGGCACCTGATGCTCCAATACTCAGCTGACCGGTGGTTGTGCCAGATGAAGAGCCTCCCGTGGATGCATGATACGTGGAGGAAGTTTTCATTGCACTGGCTCCAGTGGCTCCAGTGGCTCCAACATTGAGGTGAGCAGCACCAGCAGAGCCGGAATTTGAGCCAGAGGCTTCAATTTTTCCATGTCCAGCCGTGATCTTGGCAGAACCAGCCTGTACAGATCCAGTATGGTGTGCAGCAGTTGACGAAGATCCGGTGATTTTAGCAGTATTGGCGCCGGAGGTACCAGAGCTGGATCCCGAAATGCCAGATGACCCGATGGTCAAGTGACCAGAACTGGATCCGGAACCAGAGGATGCACCGTTGGCAACGCCGCTGGCAACTTGGTTTGCAGCCTGAACTCCATGAGCGGCAGCAATTGATCCGGCGGAATGGATCACATTGGCTCCGGCTCCTGCAACTCCCAAAACTCCATTGACAGCATGGGCTCCATGAGCGGCACCTGACGATCCTGCTGCTCCTGCACCCGCTGCATTCAGCACTGCATTCGCTGCATCAACAGTAGCCGAGCCGGTGCTATGATGGACGCCACTGGAACCGGACTGGACACCGGAAGAGCCGATGGTCAAGTGTGCGGCATTCGTCTTGGAGCCACTGTTGCCAGTGGATTGAATATTCAAATGTCCAGCTCCAAGGGAAGCAGAACCGGATCCACTGTGTACGTGATCCGCCGCCGTGGAACCTGCAGAGTGCACAGCATTGACCCCAGTCGCAGCAGCTCCCAGCACTCTGTGGGCATCTTGGGCTGCGTGAGCAGCGGCCGCCGATCCGGCAGAGTGCACAACATTAGCTCCAGTTCCTGCCGCTCCCAATATTCCGTTCACTGCCTGAGCTCCGTGAGCTGCGGCTGTATTTCCGGCAGAGTGGACGGTGTCTACTCCAGATCCAGTTGCTCCTAGCACTCCATGGGCAGCCTGAGCTCCGTGATTGGCAGCTGCAGATCCGGCGGAGTGGATTACATTGGCTCCCGTTTCTGCGGCTCCCAATATTCCGTTCACTGCCTGAGCTCCGTGAGCAGCAGCTGTAGATCCGGCAGAGTGGACGGTATCTACTCCAGCTCCAGTTGCTCCCAGCACTCCATTGGCAGCCTGAGCTCCGTGGTTGGCAGCTGCAGATCCGGCGGAGTGGATTACATTGGCTCCAGTCGAAGCAGCGCCCAGAAGGCCGTTGGCAGCCTGGTTCAGAACCGATCCAGAAGCTCCTCTGTTGTACTCCCCACCCAGACTCAATCCAGGCAGGCTTGCTTGAGCAGAGCCACCACCGTTTCCACCTCCAAGTCCAAGGCTGCCACCACCGAAGCCCAATCCGAATCCGGCGGATGCCAAGGACACGCAGCAGGCAGACAGAAGTAAATACAATCCCGCGGGAACCATTGTCTCAATTTTACTAACTGCTTTCCGAGAAAACGGCTAGCTTTTATAGAACCGAAAATACGCCTAGCAGTCATGACTTCAAAGCCACTACAGGTAAGCTTCGCTACGCCGAACTCGCCATTACCCTATACCTAACAGCTCCAACTAAATTAGATTTTGTTAGGAGCTCATTTCATTTCGCCATCTTAATTTGTTGATATCTGAAATAAAATTACTATTATTAACTCAAATGATCTCTTGTAGACAAGCTAAAAGACTTGAAATGGCAAAACTTTAAACTATTTGATTTGTACACTAACAGAGGCTAAACTGTAAGTCAACAAATTTGGTGACGATTTCTTTGCTAATTAATTCGAAAAAAACAGAGACAAACCAGTTTCTTAACATTTATCATAGTTTTTTGACTGGGAGGTGCTTATTCTGCTTAGGGGATTCACTAATGTATAAATATAACACGTGCTATGAAGAAGTTGCCAAATTAAGGTCAATCCGAGCTTGGAGAAATAGCCAAAGGGAACTTTCCACTCATTTAATTTGTATCATCTTGCTTAAAATCCAGCTTAATACCATAAAGGTACTTTGTAGGTTTCATTACCCTATAGTTTACCTTAAAATCTTCAACTCATGCTCATTAAAATATACAGAGTATTCTGGCATCGCATTAAGTTATTCAAGTTATTCGTGCCTATTCTATCCCATAATTAATTTCCCTCGCCCAAGCATCTTAAAATTAGCATTATTTTTACATCTGCTATGGCGACTATGGTAGTCGTCAAAAATAATCGGATTCTCACTAATATTTCATATGTGTGACCTGTTGAACAAGACTTACAGCTTAAATACTGTACGCGGAAGTTTTTCTATAGATAATAATACGTCTAAGTAGAGAACTTGGCTAATTCGGCTCTGTACAATCGATCTGAGCCACGAGCCAGTTGCCATTGCCGCCAGCTTAAACACTGTTTTTCACTTAACTTGGCTGCTGGTGTTGCAGGAAAAGCGCAGCTGAGCAGAGCTGAGCTCCACCCAAATGCAAATGGCAAGACAATGTGGGCTAAGAGCCCAAGGAAGTGGAGCTGCCTGGAGGGCGGGAAAGGCGGGAAATGCGGCAGCTTCTTGGCCCCGGTGTCAGCTGTTGGCCCACTTGAAAGCACTGGGGAAAATGGAAAATTGTGCTCACAGGAAATCTGCTTACAAATGCATGTATCTTGGCCCGCCAGCTGGCTGATGCTGATGCAAAATCTGTTACGGCTTTTGTGGGGCGAAAGAAACACTTGACTTCCGCTTCCGCCGGAGTTGCCCATGCACACTTGAGAATGCGAAATGCTATGCAAATACGGGCATCTTTTCCATATTTAAAGCCAAGTACAACGACGAGCAAATAAATAAATAAATATTTAAATTGGGAGTAGCCAAGTAGCTTTGTTATTTTTAATATGAATCTGATATCGACACGGTGTGTTATGTTTAATTATACACTTTTAGGCACAGATTTCTCCGAGACAAGAAAACTAAATGCTAATGCGAAATGCTAATAAATACGAAGCTCTGATTTTTGCTTATATTATTGTCCAAATAAATACTTATAATTACGAGGTCAATTTAACATACTCAAGACCGCATGAATCTTCGCCGGACTTCCCTTTTGGATCGATTAGCCTCTTCTTGCGAGCCCTCAGGCAGTTTTCCGAGCACCTGCAGCATTCGCCGGTAGAGCATTTTCCGCACATCGATGGCCCAGAGGAAGTCCATGTGGTTGAACTCCTTCTGCGGCACCAGGTACTTCCCCGTCACGTTGCCCAGGTCATCGCACATGGACTCCACATCCCTGGGGTGGCATAGCAGATCATTGGTGGAGTAATACACGAAAGTGGGCACTGTCACCAGACTCAGGTTGTAACGAGGTGGCAGGTGATCCCTGTACAGCTGCATATTCTTGTTCGAACTGTAGCTATACGGCGCAAAGCGACCGCTCTTGATGATCTGGATGAAGTGCTTCACCTGCTTGGCAGCCACTCCCGCCGGATAGTGGCCCAGAATCACGGGGAACATTTTCTGCAACACATCTCGGAGGTTAATCTGTACTCTGCTTGTAAGTCAAGCTTAAGGTTACCCTGTTGAACTCGTTCCAGTTGCGACCCACGATTCCAAATACAGCCTCGATGCACAGGCGTTCCGTCTCCTCCGTCATCCGACACAGAAACCGGAACTCCCCGTTGAACATCTCTCTAATCGAGCTGCCTACCAGGCTCTAAAAAAATGCATCATAAATTGAATGGCAACAAGAGGATTAGGCTGCTTGGATTTAAGAATAAGATACATATGGTCCTAACAGGATGTATCGCAGAGTGGTCCTAACTATTTCCAGCCAAAAGAAAGCACTTGTATGAATCGCCACCGATGCTTTCCCGTCTCCTACCATGATTCAACCTGCTCCACATCATGTTGTTTCAACGTTACTCACATTAAAGTACAGACTGATGGCCCGGATGTAGGGATGGTCCTCGGTCTCCTTGGCATAAACGGCGGGGGCGAGGGCCTGCATGGAGACGACCTTGGCGTTGTAGGCGGGACGCATGGAGCACATCACGAAGAAGGAGGTGCATCCCTGCGAGTGGCCGGCGTAGTGCAGCTTCGGGAATCCAGTGACCTTTAGCACGTGATCAATCATCGCGGGCAAGTCGTACACGCCGATCTCGTGCCAACTGAAGTCCCAGAACTTGGACTCGTCCGGGTCGAGGGTGGTGTGGTTTCTCGAGTAGCGATTGCCCCGCGCGTTTCCCAGCCAGACATCGTAGTTGTGGTCGGCCAGCAAGTAGGCTGCAAAGTGGACTTCGCTCGTAATCACTTGGCCATTAATCACGGACGACGCGGATGGCACTTACCCAGGCTCACGTTGGGGCCCATTACCACAAATCCCGCCGAGCTGTCCACGAGTCCGTGCTGCAGGAGGAAGGGCGGGGCGCCCTGCTTGCGGATGCGGTGCATGGTGAGAATGTATCCGTCCTCGGTGGTCACATGGTGCACCTCCGCCTCGTAGCCGTACTTGGCGATTAATTTGTCCTGTTGACGAAATGGGTGAGAAGTGATGATAATGGCCGCACCGAGAGGAGTAATCTTCCACTTCGCAATGAGAGCATTTTTCGGTAATAATTGCTGTCTCTTTAAGATATAGATATATGTTTAAATTTACACGATGAGATAATGTGTTCAGGTTCTAAAAGTACACATAAATAGTTACGCTTAACCTTTGTAATCACTAAACAAAATGGATTTAAAGCAACAATAAAATTATTTAATAATAATAATTTAATAAATCTTTAAATAATATTAATTACTGAAAAGTCAAAAATGACATCTTTTCCTATTTTTGTATATCATTGGAGCAGTTTAAGTTTATATCTAACCACACTGAGAGTCGAATCTTGCTTGATGTTCTTGCGCTGCAGTCGATCCTCCGGCGTTTCGTCCTCGACGCTCTCCTCCTCCTCTTCCTCCTCCTCCTCGTCCTCTTCGTCCTCCTCGCCGCCAATCAGCTGGCCTTGGATTCTGGAGATGAACACACAGAGCCCCAGGAGCAGGATCAGACGCATCCTCAGGCTGCACCGCATCTCGCTTTAGCCACAAGTATCTGCGAGTTTCACTTTCACGGAAGCGAATCTCTTCGAGGAATTCAACCTCAACCTCAACGCAGCGCGACGCGAACTCAACTGAAGACCAATTCGAAAACTGTCAACGGTTCGAACCACCGATTACAAAAACCACACCGACCAACTTCTGCAGAGACCCTGCAGCAAATACAAAATACAAAAAAAAAAATGAAATAATAAAAAGAATGCCGAAATACGAAAAACTTTCGATCAGACAACAACATTGCGCACTGTGACGTGTTAGCTTCTTTTGTTTACATTTCGATTGCGTTTTACCTTTTCGGCCAGTTAATTAAATATGGGTACAAATCAGAGGGTATGCGAGGGGAGGGTATACTTCGAATGCGTAGGGCGTATCAATCGGAAACAAGAAACTTATCAAGTGCAGCAAGTACAGTGAAGCGTCGAGCCGGAGACCTAGTCATGTCAAATTAAACCATGTTCAATGGAGCCACCGTTTATCTTATCAAGCACAAATGTTCACAAAACCTACGCCCTTTTTTTTACGATGACACAATGAAATACTTGTATATAAGGCATCTAATGGCTCTGTGTTATGCAAATCCAATTTTGATTAAGTGCTGAGAAAAACAGAAATCAAGGAGATTTGGGTTGCTTCTGATAATGAAGATATTAAAAGTACTTTGCTTATGAGCTGGACATACCACCCACCGTTGTTAAGTCAGTCCAAACATTTCCACTAAGGCAATTATCATTATTTATCGTCTCTCATTTGACCATCGAAATGGCTTGATAACCGAAACCTTTTTGGCTAAGCCCACCACAACAGATAGTTTTATTGTTGGCCATCAAAAGAAAGTAAAAGTGTCGACCAGTTGTGGCGGCTGCCTTTTTGAATTATGCATCTATATGTATATTTTTTATGGGTTGGCTACCGCATTACATAATTGCCATTTTGGACGACTGCCAAGGTAAATAAAGCATTTCGCTGGGCAATTATTTTCTGTTATTTCCATTATAATGGGTCTTTTTTATATTTAGCGGTCATTCAATTACGTAGGGCAACCGCCCCTCGAGAAACTGTTCCATTTGCTCGATTAATTTGTCGTTGACCAGACTCTTGACATCGCCGGACATCAGGAAGTCCAGGTGATTGAATTTCCTGGAGTTAATCCTCCGCACACTCCTCACCGACCTCAGCATTTTGGCATATATGGCATGGACTCCTTCCGGCGTGGCAATGGCATCGGTCTCCCCGAAATACAATATGATCGGCACTGTGATCTGGGTGATATTGTAGCTGAGGGCCTCCACGCTGCGATATACTTGCAGGTTCTCCGCCGTTCCGAAGTCGTAGGAGATGAAGTCGCCCGATTTCCATATCTGCTGCAAGTGTTTGATC